AGAAAAGCAGCGTAACGCATGCTGTTAGTGCTCTGGAATGCATTCGTTTTCAGTTCAAGGTCATAGAACTGTGTTTGTTCCTGGTGATTCATGCAGTGCAATGTTTGTTTTCCTCTGCAGGACCAATTTATGCTGAAATGATCCAGAACCTGCTTCTGCCAGTTCTTCAAAATAAGGAATGTAATTTGGTTCGTTATAACGTAATTAACGCGTTGCCCAATACGGCAGATTCGCTCATAGGGAGAGCTGCACACATTGCTGTTCTTGATTCAGAAATATTTTTAGAAAAATTCTTCCTTGTTGCTGCCCTCAAATATTTTCAGTAGAGAAAAGCATTGTAAGAGACTTGGTTATTACCTCATTAACAGATGAATCAAATAATGTGTGGTATTAAAGTATAGCTGCAGCTGTATTTTAAGAGATATTTATACTTTTTATATGGAAGATAATTTATATCATCCACACTTAGGGCTTTTTAACATCAACTTTACTTTCTAGGTAATGTGGCTGTGCAATATTTTTTTTTATTTTATTCTTTTTACTTTTCTATTACTTTTTCTTAATTTGGGGTACCTGATTATTTGGAGATTAAAGCACAGTGTGTACTTTTGGTTTGTTTATTACGGGCTCTTAGACTACAGAAGTCAATGCTACTTGGCTTATTTTACAGGAGGGTTTAGATGCCAAAATTAATTGGATTTAAAAATTCTGATATGGAATTACACATTCAGACGTCGTATTTTAGCACTGCAAGAAGTTTTAACTGGAAACACAACGAGCTGCTAAAATACTGGGAATTTGAAAATGACTACATCCCTGAGTCTCGCAAAGACCATTAGTGAGTTGTCATGTTCAGATATCACTACAGCTTAACAATTTTCTACAAAGTCATTGCCATCGTTACTAAATATGTTACACCTGTGGGAATATATTTTCTACTGATCTCAAAAACATGTTAGTTTACATACTCAATTTTATTACTGGAACTTTAGTTTTCAGAAGCAAATGGCAACTAAGGATTTTTGAATGTTTAATGATAGCTGCCTTCAAATAATTGGGGTTTTGCAAACTGTATTAAAATTGCTCCTTACTCTGTCAGTTCTTCAGATGAACATGGACAGTTTTACATGGACTTCCTTGTATGTACATAAAATAAGTAAATGTTATAAATTTCTGCAATACTTTTATGAATTTAATCAATTTTTAAATATTGTTAAAATGTTTTATTGACTACAAAGTATTGTAAATAGAAACCAATACATCTTCAAATGGGACAATATTGTAAACTTTACCTGTTTAGTGATACAGATAAAATGTTTTTGATATACAGGAATGTTAAAGGTCTATTGACTTTCTACTGGTGCTGAATAGCATTACGTTTGGTTTCTCCTTCCTTCCCTTTTCTCTGTTTCAAACAATAATTCACTAAAGATGGGGGGAGAAGGGGGTGACATTGTGCATTCACTAATTGTAATGAACATTTTTTTTGCAAAATATAAATTTGTTGTATAATGCATGTTTATTTTTAGCCTTGTGTTATTGCATCTGGTGTTAATAAAATGAACAAATGGCTCTAATGGAAGCAATTAAAGAAACTGAAATCTTCTGCGAATTACCAAAATTTTGGGGAGGCATTTTTGCATATAATTAATAATTTTGTATTATTTGAAATGAATATAGCAATAATAGTTTATAATGATGTGGTTTTGCATTTGATATGGTTTGTTAATACAGTCTTTGTAATCTGTTTTCTTCTCTGGCTTCCAAGTTTCAGCTGAGCACCTGCAGCTTGGCAATGTGTCCATTTCAGAGGTTTTTATTAGAGTTGGGTTAAGCAAGTGCTTATGACACAAAGATACCTTAACATTCCCCCTCTAACAAAGTCTAGCTTTATTAATGATTCTTATATTATGATGATGCTACCATGTTTGAAATATTTAAATTATGTTCTGGCATCTTGACTGCCTTTTGTTTAAGAGTATTCCAGTAGCTTAATTTTTTAATATCAGTTTAGGGAGGTAGATCTACAAATTTTTCCTTGATTCACCATGATGAAGTTAAAATACTGTGAGTACAGAACTATTTAGACATTTCTGTCACTATTGAAAAATGTTTTCCTGGATCCCTCTGAAAATCGGAAAGTGTACATCATGCTTTTGTGATTAGCAAAGCAGAAATATCCTGCACTGTAGCAACATTTTTCTTGACTTTTTTAATACTTGAGCCCATACATTTAAGCAGTCTTGCATTTGGCTTGTTCTTTAAGGGAAATGGATGGTATAGAAAATCATGTGATATTTGCACATAGAGAACTTCTTTTTCTCCTAATGTGTATTGCCCAGTGCAGTCCGTTTGTAGTCTGGGAGCCCTCTCAGTACTGCAGCCTTCGTGGGGGCTGTTTGACATCTTGAAGTCCCAAAGGAATGGCCACTACTTGTTGTAAGACAGCACCAAGTGGCATGATGACCCCAGCGTGTCCTGGAAGTGCATTTATTAACTGTATGGCATGCTTGCAGTTGCTGTCTGAACAACACATGCACTCATCCATGTTTTGGACAACTGTGTGCGTGCTCCCCCCACTCCTGTGTATTTCTATTTACCAGATAGAAGTATGGACTCATATGCAAAATTAATTCAGTGCTGTGATCCAAAGCAGCCATAAAGTGCTCCCTCTCTCCCTCTTCTGTTTGAATCAGGGCTTCATCTTCCTGTGGTGATAGCGACCTCTCCTCTGTGCGGGTACTGTACAACCACTTGACAGAGGATTAGGCTGCATCAGATGCTGCTTACAGGACGGTAGTTACATATTAGGGTCTTGTTCCTTCAGGGAGTTGCCCGTCTCTCAATCCCTGAAGGGGGTTTGTTGCTCCTGTTATTCACAAAGCTTCCAGTGATATTATTAGGACATCATTGTGTAAAATGACAGTATCTGAAATTTTGCTTCTGTGTAGCGTACATAAGTGAATTTCTTGGTTTGTGTTTGAATCTTCCATCCAAATTAAGTGTTGGGGGGAAAAAATGAGAAAATTGTGGAAGTCACCAGGCTTTGCAGCAGAGCTAAGAATTTCCACATTGGTGGAAAATTTATTCTGTAGCCACAAAACACCCTTCATTCCAAGCTAATCTTATCAGCACAGGTATGTTGTTCAGACAGCTAAGGCTTCTTGACTTCAGAAAGGAAATGCTCAGAGGGAGCCTTAGGAATCAATTTCTGTTGGCGGCGGTGTGTGACAGTGGTGGATGTCGTACTTTCCAGATAACACTCGTGGAAAGCTTATGTTCTGGCTCATCTGAATTGACCTGCTGGCAGAGTGTGTGTTAGCTCCAAGTCTTATATTCCATGCTTTTTAGAACAGCAAAATAAATAATACAATTTTTGATTCTTCCTTGCAAGGCAAGCTGGAGAGTAAGAGAGAAATGATCAGCAAATGGGGGGAGGGAAACAGCAAACATTTCTTTTAATCACAAAGTGGCAAATTCCTGTGGCATGTGCTAAATTTGTACTTAGCTATGTTCAGATTCACAACCTTCTCAACCGCAGGATCTAGAAGTACACAATTGAGGAGTAAAATTTGCATTTTGCATTTTTACAGGAATATAACAAATAAAGCGTAGAAAATAATGCTTTGAAGACCTCAGCTTATTTTTTGGTGGAAGAATAGTTCCTAGCTAATCCTACATTGCTATTTCATCCTTAACATCTGGGAATGCATGTCAGCATGATTTTCATGGATTTGCTTTAAGCCCTCAAGCCACAGAGCGTACTGCTACTTGGTACCTGCAGACAGCTTGGTATGAGTATTTTTTAAGGTAAGGATTTTGTGATAGCTTTTACTGTTGCAAGTGCATACACTGATTTGGAATTTGTCATAGACCCGTGGGCTTTTTCCTTGCTGCTTTTGGTCAGAAGAGCATTTTTCCTGCACAAACCACCAGTATTACATTTTATTCTCTCTAGTCTAGAAGCCCAGCATCTTGCTGTTAGAATAAAGAAGAGGGCTTCCCATTATTTTCAGTCTCTAATGTCCAATTAACCATGTTATAAAAAGCTTATTGAGGAAATGTCACACAGAAGGCAGTCAGTTAAATTTAATCACTTCCAGCGTGTAGGCATTGCCAGTTGCAGCGCAATAAACCCAGCGGAGCGTGGCTGTTAATTTACTTTCTTAAACTGCTCAAACACAAAATGCTATTTTAGACTCCCATCTCCACAAATGGCTGAGTGAGTGAGTGAGTTATCTTCTGCGGCTTCCTATCTGTGCACAGAGTTTTGAATTCCCTTTTCTGGAGGAGCAAAGTTAGCAGGAGGTGTTTGGAGATTGACAAAAATGGCGGTATGCTCAAAAGAAATCAACTGGAGCTTATGACAGGACCTCCACCCCCTATGCCCAGACCTTATCTGTTCCAGGCTTAGGTTGTACTGACTAGCTTAGGGATATGGTTTAGTGGAGAACTTGTTAGTGTTAGGTCAGAGGTTGGACTCGATGATCTTGAGGTCTCTTCCAACCTGAAATTCTGTGATTCTGTGACTGTAGAGGGTTCAGAGCACTTTCTCAGTGTATAAATTGGAAAAGTTAAAAGATGTGGTCTGGAGTACTCCATCAGGTTCAGTGACGGGGCTGCGTTGCTTGGTTTCTTGCTGTCTTCTTCCTACCTGCTCAAGTGCAGAAAGAGCACCAGCTGGGGGGAGAGAGGTCAAATTTATTAAATAATGAAACAATTATGTGAGGGGAAAAAAAGGGAAGAGTCACGGCAACCTTAAAGTTCTATAGCCTTTGATTTATGAGGAGAAAGCCTGCCTGAAGCTCAACCCTGTGGTGCCAGCCTAACTCCCTTATGCAATCATAGATCGTTTGGGGTTGGAAGGGGCTTTAAAAACGACCTAATTCCAACCTCTCTGCCGCGAGTAGGTTCACCTCCTCCTAAACCAGGAGCTCTCCCGTCCCAGCTCCCCTCCGCGGGCTATTTCCCCGCTGTCCTTTAACTATTTTTTATTTCTCCCCGCCCCGCCCGGCGCCGCGCCTCCCGCCCCTCCCTCAGCGCCCAACAGCGGCCGCGCCAGCCCCGCCTGCAGCCGTTGCGCACGCGCCGGGCCCCTGAGGCGGCCTGAGGCGGCCATGGCGCTGCGGCTGCTGCGGGGCGCCGCGGGGGCGGCCAGTAAGCGGCGGGCGGGGCGGGAAGGGACGAGAAGGGAAAGGAAAAGAAGGGAAACGAAGGGGGTGAGGAGGACCCTGGGGGTCTTCCCGGCTTCTCCTCCTCCTCCTCTTCGCTTAGGGGCGGTTGCCTCGGTGGCTGAAGGGCGCCTGAAATGGCGGCGGGGGGGGAGGGAATGAGGGGGCCGCCTCGGCGCTCTCTGCCCCGGTCCCGGTGCGTGAGGGATTTTCAGCTTCTCTTTAAGTCCAGTTGGGTAATTAACGCGCTTGGTGACTGCCCTCAGGGGGTGAGGGAGGCCGAGGGCAGCTTGCAGAAGGCGCTGTGCTGGTGGGGTTGGGTGTGCCAGTCGCAGAGGTGCTTGGCGTTCAACTTCTCTCACCGCTGTGACAAGGGGAATGCATCTTGGTCAGCAACAGCAAGCGTTAAAAATAGGAAAAATGGGTTTTGTCTCTCTGTGCTGAGATAATCAATTTCATATCAGTAGCTTAATGTGACTTCTGTTTGAATTCAGACTAGAATATCAGGCATAATTTAGCAGTATTTTTCTAAGTGTCCTCTATTTCAGCTTGCTGAAGAGCCAGTTGATTGGCAGGAGTAGAAGAGTCTAGTGTAAGAAGGAGAATTAAATCCCTCCCTATTCATAGTCTGCTATGTCATAGCAAAAGGAAAAAAACAAACAAAAAAAAAAAAAAAAAACAGATTCCTTCGGGGCATTGGCAGCGGATGACAGGCATGGTATGGCTTATGTGACCGTGGGGTTGAATCTTAAGGTTGTGGGATTTCAGAATGAATGGATGCTCTGGTTGTGGCAGTGCGGGACAATCGTTGTTTGGTGTAGAGGTGGCGAATCTGCACTGCTCGCAGAGGCTGCCTGCTGCAATCCCTTTAGCACGGTGGGGTAGTTTTCACAGTGCTGTGCACCTGGGTGGTACCAGGAAGATTCCTTCTTGAAAAGAAAGGTCAGAGCCCCTTCAGGCACATGTCCACAGTAACAAGAACTACCCTCTGAAGATACTTTGGCTATGGACTTGGCTTTTTAACCAAGTGCAGAAATATCAGTCATTTTGAGAGGTTTTCACAAGTAATTTCTAACTTGGTAATGACTTTTGAACAATTCGTGACTTATACTATCTGTGTACCTCTTTGTTTTTAGACTACTTAACTTTGAGGTACAGCTGATAGGCTTTCTCCTACATTTATGTTTAAAAAGTTGTTAGTAGGTCTTTGTTAAATACTTCTTTTTTTTTCATCTTTAAAGCATTTGCACAATTTGCAGTTATATAAGTGAATGTAAATGTGCTTAAAGTTTGTCCTGCTTTTGCCTACCAGCTTAATTATTTTACCGTCCTAAACAAAGCCCATCTATTCTATAGCAACTTTCTGGAATACCTGTTACTAAAGGATCAATGTTTTTTTTCTTTATTTTTTTTTAATGCTTTCCTTTGGGAAGGTGGAAGCTTTTTCTGACTAAAAAGCTGCTGAAAATGAGCCAAAACCTGGAAATCAGCAGGTTTCTCGGGGAGGTCAGGATTCTTCCAGGAAAACAGAATGTACTGGTCTGTGCTAGCACAACTACTATTTAGAGTCTAAAATACAAGAAGGTAATGGTGAAGAGAAGTTCAAGCAGTTTAAAATACACTGTTTGTGTGAACAGAGTTACACAACTAACACAATTTTCCCTGCACATGTTTCTAGGACTGAAAATAGAGTCTGCGCTGATTTCTTAGGTGGTTGTGAGTTGAGTTTTCAACTAGTATTTGGAGGGTTTTTCCTTGGCCTTCATTCCCTAGTTTCTGAAGTTAGGTGGTTTTGTTTTTTTTCCCTTTTTTTTTTTTTTTTTTTTTTTCCCAGAGGTTCTCTAAACAGTGCTATAGCTGTTCAGTGTTAAAGCCTCACATTTACATTACACGTGTCCATTCATTTGACAGGGTCATCAGTGCTTTGCAGCTCTCTGAGGAGCACCAGCTCTAACACAGGAGGAAGACCTGAACCCGCTAAGCAGGCACTTAAGAAACCGAAGTTACCAGTAGGTCGGTTTGATGAACCGGAGGAGTCCAGTATAGAGAGGGAACCTCTGGAAAGTAAGTCACGTCTTACAAAATTGGAAGCCATATTTTTGAAAGTCATGGTTTGGAGATGTTGTGCTGAAAACAAATGGAGATGGGACAGCTGTAACAAGTAACACAAAGGATGTATGAGCAGAAGCTTCCTCGAAACAAGGGTGGTCAAATGCTACAGAAAGTCTCCCAGCGAGTTTGTCACCTAGTGAGGGTTCAACTAAATGTCACTGGGGTGGCCAGCATTACCCTGTTACTGTATAGCTCTAACTGATGGTGGTGAACTCATGAGGGCACCAGCTACTTTTTGATATCCAAAAAAGTCAGTTCTGTTTCTTAGTCCCCAAAAGACTCCTGACCTGTTCTGTATTTTGGGGCTGATATTTCTTAGCCATGCACGGAGTGTTTTGAAGAGCACCAGTAGGTGCTGTTTCCTGAGCCCTCGGTGGGGCCGGGGGCCCTGATGAAGTGCAGCTGCTGGGGCTGCGTTCCCCTGGCCTTAGTGCAGGGAGCCTGGCAGCCCCAGGTACCAGATGTCACTGCTGAAGGCTGCTGTAAACATGTGCTTATTTATCAGACAGGAGAGAGAAGGAATCTGTTTCCCTCCCTTTTTGATTAGCCATCTCTCCTTAAATAAAAGCAGTAGGCAGACTTGATCTTACACACCAGTGTGCTGTGTGGTTACTGTTTGTTCACCAGTAGCAATAACCCGTGTTGATCCATTCCGAGGTCTCCAGGACAGGCTTTTTCAATATATTGGTAGATCCCTGTGAATATCCAGATGACAGAACTGACTGAAAAATTACAGCATGGTCTGCAAAATGGCTGCAAGCAATTTCAGATTGACTCACTTGAGCACTGACTCAGAGTTGGAGTTGTTCTTTAAGCAGTATTTAATTCTTAATCTCTTGTCCTTTTATTTCTGGGGAAATAAATGCCATTAGTGCTTCATTTAAAACAAATGTGTAATTATTGTCTTGTGCTTTTGGCTTAAGTGTTCTATATTTAGAGCAAAATTGAAGGTTTCTTTTGGCTTTAAATGTAGTTGTACCTGGGTATTCTTACACATAACAATGAGTTTGTTAAAATGCCCACTGCCCATAGTATCCTTGATGGCTGTTAGAAAAAATGTGAGGGTTTGAGATGGCCACTTGAGATTCCCTCTGCCGTGTAGCTGTTGTGGAGAAACCTTCTGATTTTCTGTGTCCACTGTCGGCACAGCAGCAGTGCTTGGGTATCAGGCTGATGACATCTGCAAGATAACGTGAGATGCTTTTGTGCTCCTTGAGCTGTGGGGAGCACTCAAGTACTTGACATCCCCTGTCGGGGTCCGTGTGAGTGTTTAAGCAGGCCTCAGGGTGTGTCATCCCGCATCACCTGTAGCCGTATGAGTGCCTCTGGCACTGCCCTTTTTCATCACTCTCCAGGGTTCCTGCTGTCTTCTCTCATTCTCAGCCCTGCTCCTTGTTACCTGCGTTCCCACCTGCGCTGGCTCAGTGATGCGACAGAGGGAGCCCAGAGCAGGGTGTACAGGAAGGTTCTGGAATCACCATGGCAAGGGTGGTGTGGGGTGCAGAGAGCTTCAGAAGCACTCTGCAGTCTGCTGCAGGATGAAAAAATACCCAGCCTAGGGTGGTGCTGTGCCAGAAAGTGACGCCTCTGTGGCTTGGCCATGCCTGTGCAGCCGGCCCTGAGTCCCATTCGAAGTCCCGTTCACACCCTGCTCAGGAAGGGTTCCCCTCTCCTGAAGGGCCATTGCAGGGACTTAGCAGCCTCATGCTCATTTCTAAAAAGTAAAAAGTCCAATTTTAGCTATCTAGGATTTCATAGTACCGCCTAGGATGGTGGTGTTTAGTCTGTTGATACACCTCAACATGGTATTTACTGAAAAAGTACTGTCGATGAAAACACAGGTGTTTTAAGTACAAGAATTACAGAATCTCAACTAAAGTTCTTACACCTGTGAGTCTAAAATCAGAAACCTGAACAAACACAGACAACAACCTGATACTTTAGATGTAGCAAACATGTTGACAGCATACCTGCACGATACCAGTTCTTTCTGCAAAGTCACTGTGGTGCTTTGGACATGAGTTGCTTTTTTGTTTGCTGAACAGAATTTGATGACGCTTTTAACTGACTGTAGTCCCAAAAAATGAAATGATTCTATTTATTGCTCGGGGAAGTGCTTAACTCAAGGTTGCCCTTAACAAGATAATTTGTATTTAAGTGTGGACTGAGAGGCAAAGCTTACAGATGATGACAACTTTCTATTTCACAGAACAGTTAGGGTTTGCAGGGCCCTCTGGAGGTCCTCTGCTCCAACCCCCTGCTAGAGCAGGGCCACCTGCAGGTCTCCAGAGAGGCAGACACCATGGTATCTCTGGGCAACATGTGCCAGTGCTCTGTCACTCACAAAGTTTAAAAAGATGTCCAAAGAGAACTTTGTTTCAGTTTGTGCCCATGTTTGTCAACGTTATAGGCTTTTTAATGACTTTTCCCTGTCATTCTAGAGTTCCCTGATGGAATCAATCCTACTACAAAAGAGAGGGGTGGACCTAAAGGCCCTGAACCGACACGTTTTGGAGATTGGGAGAGGAAAGGACGTTGTATAGACTTTTAATGTGTAAATGTATCAATATTGCTAATAATGTTCCTGTGAAAAATATATCATGTATAGAAAAGCCTCAGCTGGATTTGCTGTGAAGCTTCCTGTTTGTGTCATGCTTGTGATGAATTTTCTGAGATATTTATGTAAATAAACACAGTAACACATCAATTTTGGGAGCTGCTGGTTGTATGTGCACCTGATCTTCAATGGTATTTATCCTATGGCAGTATGAATGAAGGCAAAGCAATATGGAGGTGGCGGAAAAGATCGAGATGTCTGTTTGAAAACTGGCTAAATGCTGCTCGGGGGAAAAATGACATTTACTCATACCTTAAGTCCAAGGTGAGTATTAGATGAGATGATCTTAATATTACTGGCCTTTAAATATCGCTAAGGTACCTGGCACGGAGCTGAACACCAGTCAGATTGAACTCAGTCACTTGTTCAAGAACTTGCCTGGTCTTAAAATACTTCAGTAGAGTGTGAGCCGGCTGCTTCTGTATTATTAATATGAAAATAAGCTGACATTAAAATGTCTGAAAATGCTAATGCTCTAGGTATTTGCTGTGGAAGCTCTTTTTGGTAGACGAAACAACCTGATTTTCTCTAATCTTCAACAACTGAAAGTGTTTGTTCATTTTTTTCATCCCTTCGTGTTTTCTGGCCTGTGCTTTGCTGATTTCCCAGCTCTACACTCCCTGATTTTATACATTCACAATTTCTATTACCTGCTTTTGCCATAGCATCACAATGGGCATTAAAACTGAATTAAAGGGTTTTGGAGAGCCCAGTGGAGTCTTCCATTTTATGGCCTAAATTTCTTTTTCCTATACAAATATTTTTTGTGCCTTTTGCTATGCCAAAGCAAGTTCTATCTGACTGAATATCAGTTTCAGTCATGATTTATGTTGTTCTGCATTACTCTGACTCAGTAAGAATGTACCAATTCATCCACTTTTGCCTTTTGCGTGATTAAGTGTGTCCGTGTACAGCTCTCGGTAAAACCTCCCTAAAAACCCACCTGACCTGCGGCCAGTGGGGAAGCTCCTCCTCCAAATCTGTCAGTTTCTTTATTGAGTGTGTATTTTATTGGTGTAGTATCATGGTGGTCGGGGATTAAGATGTTTGACTCGCTGCCATGATACCCTACAAAAGTACTATGTGTGTTTGGTTAGGTTTATCAGCTAGATATGTCACTGAAGAATGAAATGAGGATTATTAAAGACTATTTTTTCAAAAAGGGTGTTAACTAGTGGCAATTAAGTTTTTGATCCCTTAATCTCCTATAAATTCTGCAGCGCTGCTTGGATATCAGAAAATCAGTCTGTATTTACCTTATTCATTCTTGTTGCCCTTCTGTAGTACAGCAGCTACATTTTCCCCAAATCTGTTGAATTTCAAAGTTACCTAAAAACGCACTGTGTAGACTTATTAATGTATAGTGTTTATTAAAATGTCTATTTCTAGCGGTGCTTTGCCTCTTCAGTTGCTAGTAGAGGGAAAAGCACGTCATCACCCAACACACCTCCTACTTCTCACACACAAGGCAGAAATTTTAATTGGAAACTTCCGCCTTTTCTGCATCGTTATCAATAGGCTTAACGTCTTAATTAGTGAAGAGGCAGGAACGCTACTGCAGTTATTTTACTGTAGCATTCTGAATCCTACCCTTCTTACCCACGGGTTGTTGCACGATTTCATTATCTCCTGCCAGATTTTGCCTTTCCCAGCACCAGCTCCGTGAATGTTTATCTTGTTCCACTTCTTGGTGCTCCTAATACTCAGCTCCAATTGCTGCCTTCCTCACAGACAGCTTTCTGGCTGCAGCTGCACTTCTCTCTGGTTACAGAACAGCATTTTTTGGCGAGCATATAAAAATTGTCCTTATGGTTTTCTTTATTTTTCAGTTCTTAATGTTGTGATTAAGAGCTAAATCTACCAATGTTTTTCTTTGCAAAATGGAGATCCCCGTGTCAGAACTTGCCATCCATCCCTTCTGTTGCTATCCTTGAGGAAAGTAAGATCACTTGTTTCCTCCCTGACGTGAAGGCTCTTCAGGCACATGTGTGTCTGCCTCCAAACAAGTGATGGCTGTGTCAGCCCGAGCCACAGGAGTTGTTTGCAACGGAGCTCAGGCATGTCTTAGGCACTCCCTGCCTGCATCCACTGAATTCCTTCATTTGAAAGCTGCTTCTCAAAGTGCTGTCTGTACAAAGAGCACCTCACAAAGGTGTTTTTTTTTTGTTGTTGTTGGTTTTTGTTTTATTTATTTATTTTTTGCCTTCCAAAAGCTAAAAAAGCTGCTAACCAACTGTAAATACAAGTTGTCAGTGGGTGGTCGCTCAGGAAATAGAGGAGACCTCTGCAACATAAAGGAACGGGCCTTCTTCACTACCTCCCAAGTCAGTGCTGCTAACTACCACGTATTTTGTTAATTTGGTTCAGGAATGTATCGATAAGAGAGGAGAGGCCGAAAGTTTGGGCAAAATAAATGGCCACAAGGCCAATGCCAAGGAAGGAGCCTTTTGGTCTGGCTATGGGGACGTTTACCAAAAAGAGAAGCCCTGGGCTCCTTTATTGATAGGTCCAAAATACTGTTTTGTGGTGCTGCAAGGTCCTCGTCAAAACCAATCATGGTTTCTGTGCAATAACCAACACAGTGACATTGTGGGGTGTAAATGATAATTTCTGTTTGGTTTTCTTGCAGTGTCTGCAGTTGTGAAGGAAGCACTTCAGCACTTTTTCAGTGCTGTCTTCCTGCTCTTTCCAGATGACTAATATTAGCAATTCACTGTGATGTGGCATAAGGGTAAGGCATTAGCTATTAGATTAGCCATGAAGGTATGTCTTTATTGTAAATACCAATTGATCTATTTTTGTAGCTCTTTTTTGTTAGTATAAGAGGAATGGAAAGCATCAGAGGTTTTAATTCCTTTTCTGTTCCCTTAAATTTTTGTGGCCAAGGAGTTGTTCTGCCTGTGTAAGCAAAATCTCGTAATTCCGGAGGATGCTTGTTGATCTGTCTACTAAAAAGCTGGATGTTGCTTTTCTGCAGTAGTTTTTCATTTTTAAACTTGTTTCTGCTAGTTTGTTTACACACGTTCAGTGCATTATTAAAATTAGGAAGCCTTTATTGTTCGAAGGAATTGCTCTGTAATTACTTTGTTACAAAATACATGAAGTTGCACTCTACATTTAAAATGCTTGCTATGTGTTGTCATGTTTGGAAAGTATGTATTTCAGCACTGATTCTACTGAGTTAAAATGCAAGGTTGTATTATATAGTTGAATCAGAGTCAAATTATCCTGTCTCGCAGCAGATGTGTTTAAGGGACTGTGGAATGCCGTTGTAAAACTTCACTGCTTGTTTAGTTGACTGCAATAAATGGATCACAAGCACCATCAGTCTGTAGCGATGTGGCGTTTTTATGATGCTGACTTTGGTTTTGTCGTTCAAAAAGGACCACAGCACATTGTTCTGAAGCATCAGGAAAATGATAGAAAACAGTGTATTAATTTGTGAGGGAAGAGGATTTGGAGATTTTCGGTCATTTGTAACTGTTCATCAGTCATGAATGGCATCATGCATATCAATGCATATCATTTTGGCAAATCCTGAGAAAAGTCCTCTATTTAAAACAAGTATTGTGAAGAGCAGAAGCAGTGAAGTCTTGTTTCTTACAACCTTCTTGAGCCTTCTGTAAATCCAGTTTCTTTCCCCGTGTTCTCCTGTTGATTGACATTATCTCAACCAGGCGAGAGAAAGGGCATCTTTCTGCTCATGTCCTTCTCCCGTGGAGGCACTGCTTGGACTTCTTTCTTCTGCTCCCCCCTCACCTGCACTGACTTTGGCAGAGCTGTTAGGAGTTTACTTACCTTGGAAACTTTTCTCTCCTTGATACCTTTTCAGAAGAGGTTAAAGTTACTCAATGACTTCTAAAGTAATAGGGCAGTGCAAACATTAGCCTTTCACCCAATATTTTGTCATTGGAAATACTCATTGTCTCTCTGCATTTTTCTCTCTAAGAAAAGATGCTATTTTTCCCCCTCAAAGAACATTAAAAGTGCCAATTAAAGCTTACGGCAGTAAGACTTTGACAGGCTTTTTCCAGACATTAAGTCTCCCAGTCAACTGTAGTCTTGAGCCTTAAAAAATCGCATATTTTAATGGTGTATTTTTAGGATGAGAGTGTTCACGGCTCTTTAAGGTCCTTAATTAACAAATTCATTTATAACAAAGCTGACATACCCAGCCATTAAAACACACAGTTGTAATTTTCAAATGTTAGTCTCTGTCAAAATGAGGTGAGCTACGAAGTGAGTTGGTGGCGAGGTCAGTTCTGGAGGCCAGATAATGAACTATTGTTTGCACTGAGATTCCCACCTCATCAGCTGCTTCCTAAAACTCAGTGACTTCCCTAGCCATCTGCGCTCCCTTCCTAATTAGCTGCAGCGGAGGAGACGCCTCCCAACAGGAGCCCGTCTTAGAGTGGAGAGATGAATTCCTCACTACAGATGGTGAATGGGAGGAAGTTTGAAGCGTATCTTCCCCATTAACTAACTGTAAAAGCTGCCTAAATAGCGATCTGAAGGTCTCCCTTATCTGAAGACAGCAAGAGCTTATCGACCATTAGATAAGAAGAATTGAACGTGGCGGCTTTGTGGTCATGGCAGCAGAGAAGCCAGAGTGCCAGTGAGTGCCACCTCCTCCTCCGAGTGAACCGTGCGAGGAGACAGCGGGACCCGTGCTGCTCCTACAGCCTGTGCCCTTCCCAGGAGGTTCTGGTGGCAAAGGACACCCAGAGCCAACTCGTAGGCACCGTGTGAACAGGAAATTGCCTCCCTTAAAAGGAGAGATAAGAATCTAGTGTTAAAATAGGCTATATCATACCTGGATGACAGCACGTATCTCATACCTAGGGATTTGTGATTTTTTATTGCCTAATAAGGAAAGGTGAAGTGTGTAAAACAACTAAATTCCGATGCCCTGCTAAAAGAGGGGGAACCAATATGAAGATAAAACTGGCAGACTAGAAAAAAAAATGAATAGATTTGCTCAGCAAACCCTTAATCTGTGTGGTTTCCTTATAGCAGGGTAAGGAACAAAGGGCTGTGTGTTTCCAGTTTTCATTTGAAAGACGGGGAAAATTTCTCCGTCTCCCAGAACATACGTGAGTAAATGTTGCTTAGCTCAGGGAGCATCATGCCTTCAGATATTTTTTTTCTCCCAGGGCTTTCACTTGCAAGTTCTACAGTGTCTACGTGATCATTAGATTTTATTTTTCCAGTGTTCCACTTGAGATAGGAATGGAGTGTAATAACAGGTAACTGCTTGGTCTGGCAGGCACACTGCTTCATCCTTCTTGTATATGGGGATGCCATTTCTTCAGCCTGGTAATGCCAGCTACAGGTCTTCTCATGGTAATTACGTGTTATTTAATCCTGCTTTTAATTTTTGTCATTTGGGTCATTTTTGATAGGTACCTTTAGTTTCTTTTCGAGTGGTAGCAGTATGCTTCACAAAAATGAATCGCAAATTGCAGATGTTTCTTCTTCTTTCTCTGAAGGAAATCTGACAGTTTGTATTTTGTATCTGAAGATCTTGTTGACAGACAAATAAAAAAGGTAACCCCACGAACTAGAACTCCACCATCTCAGAACTGTGTCTGAGTCTCACACTCAGATTAGTTATTACAGTAAAATGTAGCTCTTGCAGGAAGTCAAGGATGCAAAGAGAGACAAAAAAAAAGAGATGCCCCAGGCCTGGAGGTGCTCAAGGCCAGGCTGGATGGGGCTTGGAGCAGCCTGGGCTGGTGGGAGGTGTCCCTGCCCATGGCAGGGGGATGTGACTGGGTGATTCTTAAGGTCTCCTCCAACCCAAACCACTTGTGACGCTGGTTCCATAGACTGAGTAAGACTGAGTGTTTTAAATCCAAATCGTTTAAAACCAAATCGTTCGAAGGCCTCATTCCTTAACTGGGCACTGGTGAAGATGACTTAGCCATGAGATGTAACGTTGCTGACCATTTTTCAGAGCGCAGTTAGCTTCCCATTACACAGAGCTTCTATTTTGAATAGAAACTGGGATGTGTACCTACTAAAGCAACGCCTGTACCCACGGCTGCTTTGGGAGGTGTCCTCCCATCCCCTTGCTCAGAAGGACCTCTGGTGTGCGAGCACCTGGCAGGGAGAGGCTGGCCGACACGCTGAACAGGTGCAGGAGGGCAGGGAAACGCGTGCTTGGACAGCTGGAGACCAGATGGCCCTTCCTCTGAAACTATTCCCGATCTGCAGCCAAGTGTGGGTAATACCAGGCGTGTCACTGAGGCCTGCTGTGCTCCGCAGGCTACATGGGGAGAGAGCGGGGTAACGCTACGCTGGATCTGAGCAGCGACTGTGGGGCTTCACGGGAAGCCAGAAAACACAGCAGTACAAGGACGCAAGGGAAGCAGAGTTATTTCACCATATTTTTGATGAATAAGGGGGGAGAATGAGGTGACTGGAGCATTACAGTAGCAAGCTGTGTCCCCATACCTGAGATAACCCTTTCTGTGAGTGTTTATTACTAAGCAGTGACAACACTGACGTACCTGCGCATTGACATGCCTCGTGTTGTCTGTTTTCTGGCCCGTGTCCTCATATACTTTGGGGTGGCAGAGAAAAAAATAAATAAATTTGGTAGCTACGACCACGAGCAGCTTCATTGTAATGGGGCAGCTGGGCAGCCAAGCAGATTACAGGGGTGAGTCACGAAGCAGGTGCCCAGTGGGGTTCACAACGAGCCCGTGGGGACAGCTCTGTGCCCGCCCTGCGACGGGCGCTGGAACCTGAAGCCCAGCAAATGCTTCTGTTTCCGGAGCCCTGCCTCCATTCCCCGGTGGCAAGGTCACCCTCAAGTCCAGCTGACCCCTCCTGGCCTCTTCTGTGTGGTAGCGAGGCCTGGCTGGCAGGGACCCCCGCAGCTCAGGCGAGCGATAGCCCAGAGCTACTGACAGCCCTGTGCACCCTTCGTGTCTGGTTATCAGAACAAAATGGAAAACTTACTTGTTCTATACCACAATAAAAATTGCAATTCTTATCTCTTCTGTCTCTGCTTTGACACAGTCCCAGGGTTTTCGCTGTCACAGCAGTGTATGTGCTTTTTTTCTCTCAGTTTATGGGAACGAATAAGGTTTGTGTCATTTCAGAGCGTGTTGAAACTGATAGTTGCTGCTGGTGCTTGCTTTATTTTAGACCACACTGGCACTGGAAAACATGAAGTTAGTTTTTTATCCGTGAGCAGAGGAATGAACAATTGCTTCTGGTCTCTGGAAGAAAACGAATGCACAGATTTTCATCATTTGCAGAATGCTGGGAGAGAAATGGTAAGGTACAGACAGAGCCTGCTCTGCAGGAAATTCTCATGTAACATAATCTGGGCATAGCAGCTTTGTAGCCCACAGAAGCCCTTCCAGCTGCTCTTCTGTACTCCAACAGCCAGATCTGTTCAGAGAGTTTCAGAAGTGGTCTGGATTTCACGCTGTTCCTGGATGCACAACAAACTTACTCTAAGCCTGTGCTGATGGATTTCTTTTTTTTATTTTTTAAATTTAGGCTATCTCCGAGTTGCCTTATCAGAGCCAGTCCCAGCATGAATAAGCTGCTTTGCTAGTCTCAAGGAAAGGAGGCCCAGACTTACCAGGAGATTTACCATGAGTCCTGAGAAGGACTCGGTGTACCGGAGACTGGCCACTGAAGCCTCAGTAATTTGCTAACGTTGCTGGGTATGTGGGAGTTATTTTTACTTATCCCATGAGTAGAACACGCTGCAGTGAAGCAGGGCTGGCACACACAAGTTCTGTGGGAAGCCACTCTTAATACAACTTAATTTCCTATGAGCAGTAAGGAATGTACAGCATGACCTAGTACATCGCTAAATGTCACAATTTCCTCTCGCATAACTCCTTTGCTGCATCCCAAACTCATCTTGTCTTCCTGTGGCCTCTCTCCCAGCACTGTTAGCTCTCTTCCCCCCATTCCTTGGCTAGGCAAACCCCAGCAAACATCTGCAGAATGGGTGAGTCACCGTGCTTCCCCGCTGTCCCGTGTAGATAACCTACAGCCTCACGTCCCAGCGCTGTCCTCTGCAGGG